GAGTTTTTACCACCATGTCATTAATGTATTTTTCGATGTTGTCCCTCATCTTTTTTTATGAAGACTTTTGATAAGTTGCATTTTTCTATCATCTTTAAGGGTTTGATTTTATGTTTATTCTAGTACTTTCATTCCGTTTTTGTTCTATTTTACTCCCGTTTTCATATTTTTTCTTCTTTTAGATTTCAAGAGTTTTAAAGGTGTAAATGTATGATCAAATGGATAGAAGTTGCAATAAGATGCTTTAAGAATGAACAAGAAAGCAGGGTCAATAGCATAAACCAACGGGCATTACGGTCTGGTCGTAATGGCCCCAAAAACAAATTAGATTTATTTTTATTTTTATAGCACATGGCTGAGGGCATTACAGCCTAGCCTTATTCTCCTTTACGATCGTAATGACCCCCATCAACTTTTAGATTTTATGCATGTTTCTATTTTATAGGGTTAATCATAATTCTCTGATTATTCAACCTCTAAAACGTACTACCTTGAATATCAAGTTTCCTTGATATAAAAATTCTCTTATTTAGAGGAAACAACAAAACAACGTCATGAGTCCTTTCTAGCGAATTATTGGATACAAGAGTTGGTTAAAAACAATGAAACATATGAATCCATTACAAACTTATCTTTTCAACCTACTAATAGGTTAGTTGATCATCACATATCATAAGTATTGAGAACCATCCTCAATGAAAATTGATTTGATCAGACACCATCAGACACATCTTGTACATTCAACGCTATAGATTTTTCTTTGCATAACTTCATTTAATCTGCACTAAAGTTTCATTTAAAGTTGTAAAGAAACCTTTCAAAACAAATAGGTTTTCACCTTTGATACCCAGATTTTCTTGCGTCCTTGTGCATTAGTAGTTCTAAGAGGTCTAGGATTACTACCTTTAGAGCCTCTTAATTTATCAAAAAAAGGGCTATAGGTGTCTTATCTTATCACAAAAGGAACATTTATAGACAGAGTTATTCAATGTATACCTATTAAACTCTTACCATGTGATCTACTAGATTAAAACCTTAATCTAGTTTAATTCAAGGAAGGCATTGGATTTAATGGAATCAAATCTAGGTTTTTTTTCCCTTAGTGAATTTACTTAGGGTTTCATGAATATCTTTCAACTCCTTTTTCGTCGAGACACAAGTCTCATGTTTACTAGCTTGGTTTCTAAGATTAGTCATTTCATATCTTAGTGTTTGATTACTATTTCTAGAAACTCAATGTAGTATTTAAGATCTATGTTACTCTTTTCAATTTTATCATATTCCTCAATTAACTTAGCATTTAATTTAAAAAGTGTATTGTATCATAACATTATTACCTCACATTCATCTTCTTCGTGAGAGGCTTTTAAGATAACTTGTATGTCTTCATCGTTGGAAGAAGATGCTTCTAAGATTCTACCAGGGATTGATTCTTCTAGATTTCTCTTTGATGTTGAGTATTTGAAGATATTGCTTGTTAATAATTCTTTTTCATTTCTTCTTTAGAAAACTTTATTGGATGAAACTTTTATTTCTTCATATTCTCTTATTGATGAAGTTTCTCCATTGAACATTGAATCTTCTAGTGAATATTAAATCATATATATTATTCTTTAGAAGGATACTATTAGAGTTGGTTTTTCTTTTTCCTCTTCAAGATAGTTCTTTGATGAAGTTGCTAGAGATTCTTCTAGGTTAAGTTGAGCTCATCCATTCATCTTTTAATAATTTAATAAACTCATTTTTCTTGACGATTTCTTCCTTCTTGGATTTTTCTTGAAAATCGTAAACATTCAAATCTCTTGATTTAAGGATTGAATCAGGTTTCTAATTTCAATTCTTAACTTTTAGATATTTGTTAGTGATGAAAGTTCTAACACGGTTTTCGAGATTTATAACAATTGAACACCATATTTGAAAGTAACCTTTACATTCACCTGGTGTTTTAACTTTTTCGCCTCGTGTGTTTATTCCATCTTGTTGGATACTTGAAGATACTCCATAGACTATTTTAAGAACGTCACATATTTTCTTGGTGAAATTACAATTAAGTACATAAAGAAAATGATTTCATTTAAAGACATTTCTAAAAAGTTTATAGTTGTAAAATTAATTTCAAACTTTCTCTTTTCCTCTCCGTTCAAAAGAAAATATGTTTTATCTAGATCAAAACTTTTAATGAATTTTAAAATTTAGCTTTCCACAATTTATAACTATCAACATCAAACGGTGGATGTGTGTTTAGGGAAATCCTCTTGTTAAACAAAGTGTTGGAAGTCATATTCCTTTTGAGATGATTACTCTTTAAACATAATTTAGGCTCAGATGCCACTTGTTGGACATATGACTCAATACACAAAGGGGGGGGGGGGTTGTGGAGGTTTGAAAAATGATGATTTAAAATAAAATCATTTGAGAAATTAATGTTTAAACCCATTTTATAAAATAGATGAAGATATGCAATGGAAGTTCAAAGTAAAGAAAAATAGTTAGAAAATAAAAGAGATAAGGGAAGAGAAATAACACTGGAGAATTATACAGGTTCGACCAAGAAGACCTAATCATGTCCCTAATAATTTTTCTTGAGAGTATCCACTATACTGGAGAAATTTTAGAAGGTTATGCCCAAGAACCCCTTTATATAAGGAAATGAAGTTTCAAGTTAACTTCTAACCAAACAACTAACAAGACTTAGAGCGATCAGTCTCAGAACCAAACATAGGTTTTGAACAAGATGATTTCGAACCAAGACAAAGTTTTGAGTTGGATATTATAACACCCCAAACCCCTAAACTTATGTATAAAGGATTATTCGACAATTTAAGGTGTCACCAACGACAACCCTTCAACTGAACATGGACATTTTGAGAATATGCAGCAGAAAAGTAAACAACATACAACACATGCCATTGCATGCTCACATTCACTTAGGGCATCATCGTAGAGAAATCATATTAATCACGCTAATAAAACATATTAAATTCAATTTGGGTCTTATAAAGACTTAACTTTCACAAAATGATTCAAAAAGAATTTCAATATCCAATTCTCAACAACTTCAAGACAACTCAAATAATAGTTATTAAATTTGACAAAACAAGTAACTCGACATCAAACATAATAAAGGAAAACATCATTCTCCCCAAAAAATAATGAAAATAACTCCAAGAGCTATTTTCCACTCACACCAGCAACTCTACTCCTGAGTATTTGCAAGATGTCCATGAAGGACAACATCAAGCAAATGAGGTGGGAATTCACATCAATAGTTTAAAGGCATAAGCTGCAAGGTAGAATTCAAACATCTACACATTCAACAACAATCACGCAACACCATTCTCATAGCCAATGCATCAACATACATAAAGCAATCACATATTCATCATTTAAATTATGTAATGAGACTCACAACTTCAACTAGACTGATATGCATGTGGTACCATATCATCATTAATTGGTTCACTCAAGAACCGGGTTTATCCTACGCGAACCCTGAATCCACCTTGCTCAGGTTCGAGACAAATCACCAATCCACCTTGATCGGACTGCAACTTGCCTCTTTCATCAACAACAAAGACATAATAAATGCATATCACAACACATCAATGTAACAACAACATAATGTTTAAAGTCTTTTCCCGACAATAAACAAAATATACATTGACCCAATGATAATAGTTCTCGTCCCGAACTATCATCCTACAATAACATACTCATAATACAACAACATAATTCATGTTCATACAACAACATATCATCATCAACATCATCATAATTCACATCAACTAACACCACATCAACATCGCATATGCACATACCCATCATTCATCGAATAATCCATATATTCGATTAAAATCATGTTTAATCATTAAGTCATACAAAAACATTTCCCAACAGTAGCTAACAAAATCTAATAGTACTTAAAACATCTATAAAAGTTAAAAAATCAAAATCTGCAATTTAAAATCATCAAAACAAGTATATTCACCCATTGCAGACTTATGACGTGTTACCCGCCACCGACCTCAAAATTCCATAACGTCACTCATGTGACGACCGACTTGAATGACAAGTCGGAAAAGCATGATGGGTTACCAGTCACCAGCGTGACGCCCCTCAACACCCTAAAATCTGCAGAATTTTGTCTTCTTCAATGAAGTTCAAGCAGAACTCCTAATTCTCAATCCAGACATTCTAAAATCAACCTAAAATAGTACACACATGTTATATATTCATCAATAATATCTTATTTCACCAAATCAACACTTTAATTCATGGTTTTCATCAAATCATGTTATTTTCCAAACCTTCAAAATAATAACAATGGTGAATGCATGATAATTTATCAAAACAAAATTGCCATACATCATAGCACACTAATTTCATTACCAATTATCCACGATTCTATCTCTCATGCATATATCCATTATTGAGATAGTTTCCCCTTTATCGGTTTATCCTAGTAGTTATGCAAAAAATCTGATTTTGATTATCTAAATTCCTATAAGTTCTAAGCTTTGTCTCACACCTTCTCTAGCCTCCTCTCTACTCTCTAAATTCTGATTATACATATTGATAAAACTCCCTAAAACTAGATTATGCTCCTAATTTATATCGCTAGAGTAAATCTTATCAAAATTCTAATTCTGACCTAAACTCTTATTCATCTTACTCCTTCTTCCCTTTTACTCCTCATAATTTACACCTTAGCCCCAATTTCTCTTTTTTTTTTCTTATTAAATTAATAAATTTATAAAATACTATTATTTTAATTATTAAAATAAACTCTAATAATTTAATCAACCACTGACCTCTAATTTACTATGAACACTCTCACCTAAAAGGTCACACATCCCTACCTTCTTATTTATTTAATAAATAATCCCCAATTAATTAAATAAATACACAATTTCTCATATTCACTAATTTCCAATTCTTCTATGCATAGTGCCCACAATTTATCTGTTGCGGCGTCAACTTCGTGACGCAACCATTTTGTAATGGCTTCTGTAATTACTCATCGCGACGAAGAAACGCCATTGGTTACCGCCGACGAATCTCCGCTTCAACTTGAACCACATAAAAGCCACAGCAGAGATGTTCATATTATGAGCTTAGCGTTTTTGTTGATCTTTCTTGCTTACGGAGCTGCTCAAAATTTGCAGAGCACTCTCAACACTGTTAGTTTTCGTTTCTCTTAATTGTGATACTGAATTTGAAAGCCGGTGAGTAATTGTGATGGTTTTTGAATTTATAGGAGGAGGATTTGGGTACGACTTCGCTTGGGATACTTTATTTGTCGTTTACGTTTTTTTCTCTGTTTGCTTCTTTGGTCGTGCGGATTCTTGGATCTAAGAATGCTTTGATTATTGGAACTTCTGGTTATTGGCTTTACCTGGCTGCAAATTTGAAGCCTAATTGGTAAATATGTATTTGTGTAGTTGGAGTTTGTTTGAATTCTTGCTTAGGTTCCCAGGACCGTTGAGTTTACGAATATGTGAGGGCAGCCTTAACTTTTGAGTTCGGATTGAAATCCAAGCATATTTAATATGGTATCAGAGTTAGGTTAAGGACCGCAAGGTGGAAATTTGACCCAAGTCCAGGCTAGGCTAGGCTATGGTGAGGCGTGAGGGTGGGTGTTGAATATGTATTTGTGTTGTTGGAGTTTGTTTGAATTCTCACGTTGCTTAAATTCCCGGGCTATTGCGTGTATAAATATGTGAGGGCCCCTTTGAGTTAACTTTTCTGGTTAAGATCCAAGCATATTGAACATACAAGTGTGAGCTAATTTGTTTTGGATATTCATGTATTATTCTACTGTCAAAAACGTAAACATGCACTGTGTTTGATTTTTATGAGTTTATCATGATTCTGGATTATAAAAAAAACTATAAGCTTTCTATTCTGACTTTGTATGGTAAATATTTTGCTTTCTCGGTTTTGCGCATCCTTTAACAGTAAAATAGATACAATGATTACAGATTCCATTGCGAATACTTGATGTATCATGACATGAGGTTGTAAGTAAGGAATTGTTTGTGAAAGCATTAAGCATCTCTCTAAATAAGCATCTCTTTAACTTGTTGAATTTTTGACACACTAGAGAGAAGTGACTACCTGGAGTTTTGGGGTAATAATATCATATTTTCATATAAAGAGTAAAGTGAACTATGAGCATCTCACATATAAACTGTTATTAGTTATGTTCTTGGATTCATAAATGATATTTTGATTTTAGTTTAGAGGGAGTTTTTGGTCTTACAGTTTCTACCAATTTGTGTTTTGATCCCTACAGTTTTATTTTAGTTATTTTCATCCCTAGCACGATATATGTTCACGTCTTTTCAATTATTTGAGCAGCAGTCCTTAACTTTTATTCATCAAAATGAAACTATCGTTATATTCCATGAAGGGTTGGCCCCTGTAGTTTAACTTATTAAGGTATTAGCCCCAGAGAACTCATAACCTAAATCAGTGACAACTCGAGGGACCAGTTATCGTACCTTTAAAGCTTTTATTTAAAGTTTGACCATCAATTATGGTAGCTTATACTTGTTCATTTTTCATAGTTCAGCTTTTATTTCGGAGCATTATTTCTGTTTTACTTTGTATGAATATGTATGGCTAAATAATTCAAACTTATTTTGCATATGATTAACCATTGAGTGACTGTTATGCAGGTATACACTGGTTCCGGCTTCTGTGTATCTTGGGTTTTGTGCTTCTATATTATGGGTTGGACAGGTACATGAACGAACATGTTGAAGTTCCACAGTTTTTTCATATTGTCATTTGTCTTCCATATGTTTACTGATTTAGTTTGTCCTGTCAGGGAACATATCTAACTTCCACTGCACGCAGACATGCCATAGATAACAATTTCCACGAAGGTGCAGTAATTGGTAACTTCAACGGGGAATTCTGGGGTGTCTTTGCACTTAATCAGGTCATAATTTTTTTACTCAAAACTGGTGATTTCATTGTTAATGTTTCTTTAAATTAAAACTACTTAGAGTTCAAAATTGATTATTTTTAAATCTGTTTTGCAGTTGATTGGAAATCTTATTACATTTGCTCTACTCAGTGATGGGCAGGTATGTGGTCGTTATTCTTCATATTTTGAAAATACTCCTGTGTCATCTTTTTGCTTTAATAATCAAGTTATTTAAATTAAAACTACTTAAAGTTGCTTCTTATGACGGAAAATAAGAAGTTTATGATTGGTCCAAATTAGTCGAACTTTTATGTTTCTGTTAGAAAAACACATAACTTTTGATGAATATTTACTACAATATGCAAACTTTTTCTACCTAGTCCCAATATCAATATGAGTTGGTTTTTTGTTTTTCCCCTTAAACATTGAATTCTCATTTCAGATGCTAACAAGTTTTGTTTTAGAATATTTTACATATTCTTCGGATTTGATTTCGTTTCTAATCACTGCAGGGGGGAAGTACCAAAGGCACAACTTTATTGTTTGTTGTATTCCTTTTCATTATGACCTTTGGTGCAATACTAATGTGCTTCCTACATAAACGGAGTGGTAATAGTAAGGAAGGATACGAGCATTCAGATGCTGATGCTGGTGAATCAAAGTCCCTTAAGTCTCTATGTAGTTCACTCACAAGTACATTGTCGGATGTGAAGATGTTGTTGATCATACCCCTTATAGCATATGCGGGTCTACAGCATGCATTTGCATGGTAATTTCATATGAACCATAAGTTATCTTCTTCATGATCTTCAATAATGGTTCCAAGTTCTTGTTTTCGTTCATGTCTATTTTGTAATGTTTGTTACTGAAATACTTTTTCACAGGGCAGAATTTACCAAGTATGTTGTAACTCCAGCAATTGGTTTTTCCGGTGTTGGTATTGCAATGGCAGCATATGGAGCTTTTGATGGAATAGTAAGTATTGACATGAAATGCAAAACTGTAGTTCCTCGGTTGGTGGTTCGAAAGTGACTTGATTATGTCATGCTTGCGATCATTTCTTTCTTATTTTCTTCTTATATCTGTTTTTTCGTCTTAATTGTTTAAATATGTCAGTGCTCTCTGACCGCTGGTCGTCTCACCTCGGGTCTCACATCCATCACATCAATAGTTTCTTTTGGAGCTTTTGCTCACGCGGTTGTACTAATATTACTTCTGCTAAATTTCAGGTTTGCAACATTCATTATGTTTGGCTGATGTTTATGAATATTATTTTTCCCATGTAATTTCATTTTGCCTATTTTTTCTTTGGCGCTCCTGATACAGCATATCTAGTGGATTTCTCGGTACTCTATATATACTCTTTTTGGCTGCTTTATTGGGCATTGGCAATGGAGTTCTAATGACGCAGCTCAATGCTTTACTAGGAATGCTATTTAAGCATGACATGGTACACAAATGCAATCTACCCCTTTGCTTGATTAATTTGTTCTTTTCCCAATATCTCTAATGTCAAATTGATATTACTTTGTGGTGCAGGAAGGGGCTTTTGCACAGCTAAAGCTATGGCAAAGTGCTACAATTGCTATCGTTTTCTTTGTGGCACCATACATTTCATTCGAAGCAGTTATCATAGTTATGTTGGTTGTACTATGCTTGTCATTCTGCAGTTTTCTATGGTTGGCTCTCAAGGTGGGGAATGCATCATCACCCTCCACCACTTGACTGAATATAATGGTTCTTTTATGCTCTGTCATATTTCTTTTTTGGTAGCATTGCCTTCAGATGATTCAATTGTATAGATTTTAACAGTTATAATTTATTAGTTCATGTGGCTATTAGTTATTTACCGTAGAATATTTTGGATGAGTTAGTAAGATGTTCACAGAATGAAAGTTCTCTCTCACGGATTTGGATCCTCTCATTTTTTTATATATCATGCTATCTTTCATGTTTTTAATTTAACGGTTCAGAATTTATAATGAATAATTAAATAAAAAAAGTCATTTATGGTTGTTGATTTTGTGGAGAAACAAAGACAAATTACTTATCTATTTCTCTCTCCTATTAAATAATTTTTTTTAAATTTAATTATTCATTATAAATTTTGAATCATTAGATTAGAAACATGAGAGATGACGTGATATATAAAAAATGAGAGGATCCAAATCCCTCTCACAGACTAGTATTTTGGATTATGATATTCTAAAGTAAATAACTAGCAAAGTGAGAAAAATTAAGTGTTGATACTTCATCCACTAATGATTTAATATACTCGAGTATTTAATATTTACGAATGATTTGTTCTTAATATATTATAGTATTTGTTTTACTCTCTAAAGTGAGTTACCTTGTTTAGAGTAGCTGAATCCAATACTTTTGAGAACATTAATTCACTCTTCCAATATTTACCAATGGTTTCTTCTTGAAATATATAATACTGAATAAGAAAAAGTTAAGATATATGAGAAAGCTGTAAAGATGCACCAAAAGAAATAGAAGGAACATCATTTCTCAGGGTAGTGAGTAGGGGGTGACAAATCGGGATTGTGTATATTAATATAAAATTTTGTATTTTTAATTTTAAGAAATGTAATATCTGCTTGCTCAAAAAGACTGACACAGAGATTTAGAGATTTAGGCCCACACCAAAAATAATTAAATAAAAGTAAAAGGTTTTTATTTTTAATAAAAATGTTTAAATATATTTTTGATCTCTCTATTTTAATGATTATAACCTTTTAATCCATCTATTTTAAAACTCAATTTTTTTAATCTCTATTTCATTAATCTTGAAATCTTTTTGGCCCAATTCATTTTTGCACGTGTGGCTTTTTCTTTTAATACATATGACTATGGTTCCACCAAGTAACCAATATTGGCAATTTCAATAAAATAAAACAACTAATTAATTCTTAAACTCCAAATAATTTAATTGATAAATCAATTTAAGTTTTCTAAAATATAAGATTTTAATTACATCAAAATTCACCATCTTTAACAAATCTAGAAACTCCAAACATCATCCCTTGTTCTTCTTCAAATTTTATTAACTTTATAGTCAAAACAAATTCTTAACACACACAAGCATTTGTTAATTTTATTGTGAAAGTAAAAAATCCTTCACAACAAAAGCATTTCCTAAAACATAAACTAATTATAAGTCACACTAATACAATAACTTATTTTGTTGTTGTTATGTTGTTATTGTTCACACACTAAGCAATAATTCATTTTTTTAAATTATTGTTGATGTTGTTATTGGTCAAACAACACACAAAAGGAGTAATATTTATGAGATATTTATGTCCTCACTATTTAATTTTATTTTGTGTTAACAAGTTTTATTAAGTTAATTTAAGTAGGTTTTGTTGTTTTTATCTCAATTAGCCTGACGTGTACGAGGTGCCATCTTTTGTGTGAGAGAGAGAGAGAGAGAGAGAGAGAGAGAGAGAGAGAGAGAGAGAGGAGAGAGAGAGAGAGAGAGAGAGAGAGAGAGAGAGAGAGAGAGAGAAGAGAGAGAGAGAGAGAGAGAAGGAGAGAGAGAGAGAGAGAGAGAGAGAGAGAGTGATGGAGAGAGAGAGAGAGAAGAGAGAGATGAGAGAGAGAGAGAGAGAAGAGAGAGAAGAGAGAGAGAGAGAGAGATGAGAGAGAGAGAGAGAGATGAGAGAGAGTATATTAAACACTTTCTCAAATAAGATGAAAAAGGAACATGGTGTATACCACGAGCTCTCGAGGTTAGGATCTTAGGTGTATACCTCGCCCATCCGAACTCTTGTCATTGTCGCGCCGCAAAAAATAAAAAGTGGCCATTGAACTTTATTTATTCCAAAGAAAAGTGAAAATATCTATAAAATCGCAAAAGTAAAAAGAAAATGGCCATTGCAATCAAATTCGGGATTGGGAGTCGATTATGCAAGGAGAAGGTATTATCATCCCTCACATCTGTTGTACTCAACGAGAACCAATTTAATTGTTTTTGTGCAGATGGGTATTATTATCTAAAGGTTACTTGCGGTTTATTTTAATTAAGGGAAAAATAAGTTTTTAGTTAATGTGCTCGCCAAAATTTTAAAATACCGTGCCTACGTATTCCCATAGTGTATGAGAAAATCAAAGTTACGTAGTTCGTGGGGTAGAAAATAAGTATTTCTTAGTCGTTTTTATTGAACGATGTTAACATTCATATTATAGCAGTTAAACGTTGCTTGAATGCTCGCGCGTGTGAGGTTTAAGCATTGTTTGTATTGCGGTTGAACGAAAATAACATATCCTTTCTGAAAAGCTTTTGAATGCCCTAAGGTGAAAAATTCAATTTGATTGGTTGTGATTGATTTTAAGTGGAAGACAAGTATCAGACCGCAAGTTAAGTACGATCGACAATCCAAGTATTCAAGGAATTGAAAGGAAAAGTGCATCCTGACCTCTCTTTTCCATCCTAAAATTTTTAATTTATGAAATTTGTGAAGCGAGTTTAATCTTTAATACTTAAAAAGGGACAAGCCAAATGGGAGATAATCATACACCATACAACATTAAATCATAAGCAGATATGCACCATTCAAGAAACAATCCACAATCACAATTAACAATGCACTCTAAATTAAAGTCATAAAAAAGTGACCAAAATTAAAGCTATGAATAAAATAATGTAATCAAAATCAAAGTTATGAATCAAACTCAATCCAAATTAACCAAGAGAACTAATACTATGTTTTTGTTATAAAAAAAATAGATTAACTTTAATGAAAATTAAACAAAAATTAGATCTTAGTACATAACTACAATGAATTTTTTATTTATTTATAAAAAATGTATAAGATCATCTTCTAGCATTTTTAAATCAATTATCAATCACCTAGTGCCACGTTGTAAATTTTATTAACTAAAATAAAAATCCAACACTAGTCTGAAATTAACATGTGACATTATCATATTAAATTAAATTAATATAACATAACATGCTACATAGTAATAATATAAAACAATGCATAGAAAAAGAAAGAAAAAAAAGTAGCATAATAGTTATAGCAGTAGTATGAAAATGCACATGGAAGTGAGGAAGTGCAGAATTTTAGTTCAGTGCAGAATTTTTCCGAGTTTCATTGCAGAATTTTTTGCATTTCAGTGTAAAATTTTCCGTGTGCAAGTGTAGAATTTTTTCGCGGGTAGTGCAACATTTTCTCTATGCAATGTAAATTTTTTATTTGAACACAAAAAACAGAAAACATATAACTCTATAATGATAAATGAGATGAGAATTTTCCTATGGAATTAAAGAAAAATATAGATTTCACTGTTGTACGCAAGATGCTCGATAAAATGTTTCAGCCAATTCGGAAGCAGTAATGTAAGACACGAAAAACATAGGTGAAATATCTTACTGATAGAGCGGAGGTTTACCCCGGTTAGTATTGAAAATCGAATCGAATTTACCAACGAGAAATCCGGAAAATTTCAAAGTAAACTCCTTTAATCCAATTAATTTCCAAACTCTTAATGAACGATTGTGGATGACAATGATTATTCTTTGTTCTGGACTGGACTCAGACCTGCCCATCTGTCGGACAGGCCCAACCCAATGCTATTTGGGGAAGGCCCAACAAGGCCCAAATCCCCAGTGTCAGGCACGTGTTTAGACACACCGTGCAGACACCCTCCCTTCGTCGGGCAGAACAACATGTCTTCCACACGTTCTCCACGTGCCCCCTCCACGGGGACACGTCATCAGCCAACTACCCACCTCCAAAAGAGCTGGTCATCCCACCTTCTAGAGATCACGGGACGGTTGAACTAGGGCGAAGAGCACATGCTGGTCTTCACTATGCCACGTAAACCCTAGCAGTCACCTGGGTTGGGCCTGACAATCCATCCCAACACAAGTGACTGTTGGCCCTGCGCTGGGGTCTCTCTATAAATACCCTCTTTCACTAGAGGGTCAGGTCCATTACTTATTTTGGCATCAGAGTGTCTTGCAGGTACACCCCATCCCCCCTACTTCCGATGAACAACCTTCAGATCAACGACGGGTGGCAGGTCACTGATTCCCTTCTGATCAGGTAAGATCAGTGGCGTCGTCTGTCGGAAGACCAGGAGACTCCGACACTACTTCCTGGTCCATACCGTTGTAGTCAGAACCGAACAGCCGATCAAACAACTGTTCGAAAGGCCCGACATGGCAGGGCGCATGTTGAGATGGTCGCTGGAACTCTCCGAGTTCAACATTGTCTACGAAGGCAAGAAAGCCCTCAAAGCGTAAGTGCTGGCTGATTTCGTCACTGAGATGACCCCCACCACAGAACCGACCCCGGGGATTACAAGTGGATCATCTTCGTCGATGGCGCTTCGAGCCCCTCGGAAAGTGGCGCGGGCATCATCCTCGAAAACGAGGAGGGTACGGTAGTGGAAGTCTCCTTAAACTTGGCCTTCCCAACAACGAACAACCAGGCTGAGTACGAAGCTTTCCTGGCCGAACTACGCCTAACAAAAGACCTCAAAGCCAAGGAGACCAAGATCTTCACAGATTCCCAGCTGGTCGCCTCCCAGGTTCGGGGAGAATACCTGATAACACGAAATCGTATATATATTTTGATGCATAATTCAACTAAAGTTTAACTGTTTTCGACCCGATTTCGGGTTATTTCCGTGTTATTCGTCTGATGTTTTGCAGGTATTTGATGATCATGTCTAAACAAGGCAATATGAAGAAAAGAAGTAATCTCAGA